TAATTGTATAGTTCTTGTATCGACACAAAATTTAAATGAAACATACCTCATCAATTCGTAAATTGGGATCAGGCGATATTACTGTTCTGCCTGAAAAGTCAACGCGTTTCCCAGATAAATTTCCACGAAATCTTCCTTGTTTCCCTTTTAATCGCTGACACAAACCCCTACTCGGTTTTGTACCCTAAATACGACGTTGCATATGGTAAACCCAAATTAATGATAACATTTATTAAAACAAAACAATATAACGACGTCAAAAATTACCGCCATATTTCCAAGTCCTGGCATTTCACTATTAATGTACATTGCAACCGTTAACTGCAAATAATCCCACTGCTCCTGTTTATAACGAAATCAAAACAAATAAAGATTTTAATATAAAAAATTTAAACACATTTAAATAATCATGATTTATTACGTACCATCAGCTGTGAGATAGTGATTCCTTTACTCAAGGCTGCAGCAATATTAGTGTTCGTTTGGACAATTTCAGACAACTTCACAGTTAAATCATCTTCTGTACTATAAATATTAAATAATAAGGAATCTACTTAATTATTACAGTAGTAAAAGAATTTAAAATTCCAAGTAAACATTGGATGTTAAAGTAGTAATACAGTTACATAATAATGTCTAGAAAATAAACTATAATCATTGCGCATTAAAAACAATATTAACCTTGCGTTATCCTGAGCAATTGAAGGGCGAATTGCAACAGGTGGTACTGGAATTCGTTGCCATATAAAAAGTTCTGGCCTCGCATTTTGTGGATCCAATCCGAGTAGTTCACAATCCTACGTATTATAGAATTACATATAATAACCAAAATTGAAGCCGCATTGCATTGAAATTAATTATCGCACCTCATCACATATTTTTTTAAATAACTCGAGTACTTTCATCGCATTTAAATCTTCTTGTGCCTTATGTATATGAGCTTTTAATTCCGGCATGGACTCTACAGCATTAACGAAAGTGCTTTTAAAATTTTCTTGTTCTTCATGCGCTTTCTTTGGTTTAAATTTCTCGTGAACAATCTTAATTGCGCCAACTTTTTTTTTTACGGGTCCATTAATCGCATTACAGTAAGGGCAATCCACAGTTTTTTTACATAATGCATTTATAGCTTTTTCTATTTTCCCGCGTT